TTTTTTTATAACATACATGTAGGTGAAATGCTCAATGTCAATGGAATGTTTTATAAGGTGACAGTTTTAAAATTGCATACAACGTTTACACACACAGAGAATTTGCAGCAATTACCCAAAGTTTAAAAATATTTTTTTTTAAAATGGTTTGTCTGTTGTTGTTTTTTTTAACCAGTAAAAGATTAAGCATTATAATACAACTAGAGTTTACCTGTTCGTAAAATGCCCTACGAAAGAAAGTGTTACAAAGGTGTCTTCCTTATTTGGAAACTGTGCATCATGTTACGTCACACTCAAACACTTTTCATTGTTTACTGACTGCTATCAGCATATGGTGAAAATAAATTTCTGTCACTGAACCCAAACTTTCGTACAGGTTTATAAATTTCTCGATGCCATAATTTATTATTACAAGCAGAAAAAGGATGTATAATAACAAGATTATCACTACAGTTGTCACACTGTGTCATGTTTGAAATGGGAACATTAGTGACATATGCAATAACTGTAAAATCATAGATTGTTTACATGAAATTAAACTGTAGCCAAAGACTGCAACAATGTGATAAAGTAGTTACTAACAATCTCTATCAACATTTTTTTTGTTTCTTGAATTTCAAAACTTACATGCATCATGAAAACAATAGATATGACAGACTTACCTCTGAGGGCGCCCCAGATTGATGATGCACTTAACTTTGCTGTAGGACTCTTCACATTCAGTGTGTCTGAAAAAGTGAATGAAAAAAAAAATTATTTAATTTACAACCGAAAATAAACTTTGATAAGGAACTGTTCATTTGTATACAGAAATCTTTCCATGAAACCATTTGATATTTTTCAATTATTTATCCATTTTTTTCATTTAAAAATGTAATTGTTACTTTTCTGTCGACCAATTATCTTAATTTTGAATAACACATATCAACTTTGAGACTTGTAACCTGTGATTGCTCAATAAGGAGGGCATGTAAGCTGAAAATGCGATTAATTTTTTGCTCAATTTGTGAACTGTCTAAAACAATGTTTGAAAATGAATAAACTGCACATTCTTGCTCAATGTACTTATTATTGATTACATTTGTACATGACAGTCATATATGTCTTGTATCTAAACATAATGTCTGGATTCTAACCCTGACAAGTGTATGTTTAGGTGCACTGCAGCTGTGTGTAATAACAATTCAACTAAATACTGCACATTGCTTAATTTTTACTCCTAGGAATTTTTGCAATTCGAATAATGTAAGACACGTGTGTAGATGAAATTTGACAAACATCATTGACACTCCATTTCATAGGATCAAAGAGCTTGTGTCCCTGTTACAACATTTCACAATTTTCACTGTGCGTTTCTTCAAACAAAATAAATAAAATATAAAATAATAACTTCCTCTTTTTTACGTAGAATATTTCTGATAAGTTCCATATATAATATTCCATGACCAAAGTTCAAAATAGACTATTGGTCCGACAGGTCAATTTAAGGTCGCAGTCACTTGAACTACTGTAGAGGCCATCGAAAAGGGGGCGTGTACCGTGTCTGTGGCCCCACTTTGTTAAATGAAGCAATAAAAACGTCTACATCGTAGGTATATAAAGGATGAACTTTTTAGGTTTACTCACATGTCTCGTTTGACTCCAAAGATGGGTATTTCTCACATGGTGTATCCAATTCTACAACCAGACCTTCCAACATCGTGTTTTCTGCAGTGTCACAGGAGGGCAAAACGCAGTTAGATTCTTGCTTTTCAACTCTTGGCGAAAACTTTAATTTCGTGTCGAGATGACCGTCAAAAATTATATGGTAGTATCGCTTGAACGCGCTTTGAAGGGTGTCACAGTCGTGCATGCTAAAGCTAAACTCGAACGTATCTGCGCTGAGGAAAACCCGGTTTTCCTGAACTTGCATGAGTTGCGGCATAGGCCAAACTGAACCAGACGACGCTTCGATCTGAGGTTTTGACGAAAACTGCAAACTTTCGTCGGCTGTTTCTTGATTCACAAAAGCGTCAGGATGCTCTTCAGCCCATTTTCTATACCGTACGACCTTGCTGTTAGAGTATACCAGCGTAAAAGTGGCGAAAAAACAAAAAACAACAGACGCCCGTGGGAGCAGCATTATTTTGATCCTATTTCCGTCGTTTTGAGAATGTCACATGCTCTGCTGTGGTCAGGTGACTTTATTGTTCAACATGCTACAAGTAAATACTATATAGTTTTAAGGCACGTCTTTTCCAAAATATGTATCCTTATTTTAGCAAATAAATGTTATAAAAACTGTGATCTCATTTTAAATATGTTATAATGTGATCTCATTTTAAAATGATGATCTTGGTGTGACCTTTGACCTAACAGTAAACCGGAAGCAAATGAAATAAAATGAGCGGAGACGTTGTTGATGCGTTTGATTGCTATTTGTGACTGATGTTTCGGTAAGATGCATTTATGGGTTTCTGTAACTTTAGTTCAATTATATTGATTCCGTGTGCACGTCAGCAGATTGCCAAATACACATTTGTGCGTGGGTGTTCATATTGAGTACTTAAGTGTCAGCATGGGCTCTTTTCACCCGGGATATGTACTAGTAACTAGTGGTCAATTATGGTCACTTATGGCAGGGGGTGAAAAAATTGCAACAGAAGCTTTTTTTCAGAGTTATTGATCTTATCCAATACTACTTAAAATCTGAAAGTTGTGTTACAAAAAATAAAATTGGCAATGAAAACCATTACATAATGAATTGTTCAAATGCAACGATTTCAGGATATCGACAACATTTCTTTCACAAAATTGCCTTTCCAGAGTTTGAAGAACTTAGTCAAGAATGCAAATTTATATACTTATTAGATGATTTTTATACTTATTATTAAATAGATTTTGAATTATGTATATTCTATTTTAATATTGTTGATAGTTGTCTGTAGTGACCATATATGGATGTATTATTTTAATATGGTGTTTAATATGTTATTCAATTAAAAGTAAATGAAGTTCATTTTTTTTCCAGTAAATAATTTTAATTCTTCAACTGCAACAAATTAAGAAGAAATGCAGCAAAAAACCAAGTAAACAGTGACTTTAAATCTATTAACACAATCACAGGCTAGTACCAGCACATGAACCATGGAGGAATTAACAGAAAGTCTAGCTACATCATTTCAAGTGTCAAATATACCAAACAGTACTGCTGCACCTCATCCCCGGTTACTGCAGTATAAGCTAAAATCCAGCGCTGTTGATCAGGAAGAACGCAGGAGGAGAAAGCTTGAACAGCAGAAACAGTAAGAGATTAGATTATTCCTTTAGTTATATTAAAGACGCTAGATACAAATAC